TTTTTAACCTAAAGCTCGACCTAAACTAACATTTTTATAACCTAATTCGTCATGTTTGGGACCTAAAAATGTCTCCCTTTATTCATTTTTAACGACCCAAAATTCGAAGCCTACTCATAGTGCACCTTCTGATTCTATTGGAATCACATCAGTGTATCGTTTCTGTCCAAGAGTGAGGGTCTTGCGTGAGGAGAGGAGCGGCACAGTCGAATTGTGAAGGCGCTAAGATGTACAATGTTAGGAAGAATAAAAGCTTTCAGAAAATTTTAAGGAGTTGTTTTAATTTATAGATAGTGAGAGCGAAACTTCAATGAGAACATAAAAATTCCTCGGAAGCTTGTTCGATGTAAGCAAATGTTATTCAGTATCGTTGATTCAATTTAGGAAAGCTGTTCAATCACTTTCCCGCCCAGAAAGGCTAATTAACGATACGAAATTACAGAAAAACTAATTTTTATCCTGCACTGCGAGAAAATCCAATTTTACTTTACCAAAACTAGAAATGTACACACAATACACTACTATAATATACCTGTACAACAGGCGTAATTATGTTTTTTATAACGAATTTAAATCATTCAAATTTGTCTCAACATCTGGTGTGCCGCAGGGCTCCAATTTGGGAACTCTATTCTTTCATTTATTTATTAATCACCTACTGCAATCCTTAACTTGTCCTTTGCTTGCTTATGCTGATGATGTCAAAATATTTTCAGTAATATCTTCCAACAAACTTGTACAAGATAAGTGTCTTCATCAAATTTTGCAAAGTGCAAAAAGTAATTGTTATGAATTCCTTAAAAAAAAAGTAATTTGCAATTGTAATTGTTCCAATCACTGGATTCTTCCTTACTGGTAAAATTTGGTGCGCGCTTGGCAGATGACATTTTTCTAAATATTTATTTTGCTATCAATTTGTTGGCAACGACACGTATTTATCAAGACTTTTTAGTTCTCGGGAACCAGATCACAACCAGATTTGAACGACACTTGTATGACACACATGAAAATTGAACAAAAGTTCTGTTAATCTATAGTTTAGCTGAATTTTTCTTCTTCTTGAACTCATATTTGTACAACCGGCCCTTCTTCTTCTTCTTTTGGTTGAAGATATTTTAAAATTAGACGAGATAAGTAACTTTAATAAAAATGTAACTACAGTTATGAAAGAAATAAAAAATTCATACGTATTACAAGCTCGTTTAAAGGAAATTCAAGAAGAAAAGAATAAAGTCAGTTTAAACTTAAAATTACCCCTCAAGAAAAGGTGGAGTTCTTTTAATATGTTTTTAGAAAAGTTATTACGATTGAAGCAAATATTAAAATTATTACTATGCAACGACACTGTTACAGAAAATTTTACGTATGTCGAATTTATCTAAGTCCTCTTAGTCGTTCGATACAAATTTCTGGCATTTGGTCACAAAAATGTATTCACTCTTTGCTCGAGTTTGTTTTGATAAAATTAATAAAATGCTTCAAAAACAATTTGATAATAGCGGCAACTTTGGAATTTCAAATAACGCAAATCTCTTCACTCTTTGGCAAATCTACTTTAGACTCATCAGAAAAGGGAAAAAAGTTGGATGATAATGAAATTATTACAGATACAGACCTACTTTATGAAACAGCGAATTCAAGTGACAAAATATCCTTAATCGTATTGATTAAACTCTTGTCCTCCTTGTCGTAATCACAAAAGCTAGTCACATAAAAATGAATTAAATTCTGATTTTATGAAGCCATTAATTAATCAGTGACAACCGAGCGATCAAGGTATTTCTTATTGTATTTTTGCTCAATTGATTACCGTAATTTCTGATGTTTCATTATTTTCTTCGTTGTAATCTGAAGAGGATCAACACCCTAGAAGAAATAAATGGAACAGACACACATTCAAGATGAATCAAATCCATTCGTTGAGTATGACGCAACAGATTCCCGGATACGGTTTAAATTTAGAAGAAAAAATGCTAACATTATTGCTGATTACACCAGATACAAATCGAAACAAAGACGTATGTCCCCTACATCAATTATTCATCACGCTTCGATTTTATGCAAGAGGAGCATTGCTCGTAGAAGCAATACTGAAATTAAATCGTCAGATCTCAATGAGTCAATACAAGTTTGCTCGGATTTTTACGGTATGGTAAACTTTCCAAGAGTTGTGGTGCTGTAGACATACCAAATGATATGGAAATCAGTAATAGTAAGAATATTTTAATAATTTTTTGTACACATGTGTTTAGTGTAAGATACACAAACGATCAGTTTTTCTACCATATCGGTACGTTGGTTTCTCCCTACACACAATAGGCGGAAGTAGACGCTGTAGCTCTATGCAATTTAACGTTTCTTTGGTTACATATACCTACAAAGGTCATAAAATTTCATACAAGAGTTTGGTTTTGAGGATTTTTTAAAGTTCGTGAGTTGTCCTCTTTTTCCGAAATGGATAAAATCGAAATACGTCCGCTGATTAAATATTTTTTTATAAAAGGTCTAAGTCCAACACAAATAAAAGAAGAGCTAAATTCCACCTTGTTGGAATCTGCTCCGTCGTTTAGTACTATTAAATCGTGGGTTGCGGACTTTAAACGTGGTTGTACCAGCACAAAAGATGCACCACGTTCAGGTCAGCTGAAGAAATGTATGTTTTAAAAACTGGGACGGAAAATCCCTTGGGATGGAAAGTAACGTCATTTTAGAAGGATTTAAGCAAAGCATATCTATTCACGGACTAAAGTATGCGTATCTCGTTGGTGATGGCGACAGTAGTGTTCTGAAGAAACTTCAAGCAGACAGTCCGTATGTGGCGGAAAAAACTGAGTGCTCTAATCACTTGTTAAAGAACTATTGTACTAATTTAAAAAATCTAGCAACAAAAAATTTAGTTCCAAAGGGTTTCCCATCACACCTTTTCTTCGACAATCTCTGAAAAACAGCGCGTTCAGATGTAGAAGATCTCACGAGGTTTCATTTCAAGACCAAGTGAATAATTTCAAAAACGACAAAAAACATAGTGTTTTTCACGTTTTTGGTGAACATAAATGTGATAATTACTTTTGCAAAGATGTTAAACCAAATGAATTTAATCAAGTTCCGACTTTAAAACAATGTGGGTTGTATAATGCTAACAACCTTATATACAATAGTAAAAGTTTGATCAAAAATATGACAAACAATTCCGCGAAACCATATAACAGCGTCGTTACTAAGTTTATCGGAGGAAAAATACTTTTCAAAGTGAGGATGGTATAAAATGAGGTGCCAAACGGCTAGTATTCGCTACAATACAGAGGTTGCGTGTTAATCAGTTTTGCACAAAGCAATCGCTGATAAAAGTCCCGGTTTCCACACAAAAAAGTTTATTGAAAGGAAAATGAAATTAAACTACAGAATACAGCTATTTCAGAAAACCAAAAAAGCAAATAAGAAGCAAGTTGTTGCTGGGGCAGACGAAGACTATGGGCACGTCGAAGAAATTTCAGATGCTGACGAACTAACAACAAGAACAAACGTGTTTATTAGATCACTGAAGAAAATTAAAGAAGACATATTAGAAAAAGGATTACCATTTCTATGTTCGGCAAAACTTGTAAACTGAAGCCTACAACAAATCCAGGTAAAACAATAAAAACTTCCTTCAAAGCTTTTCGTCAAAAAGCACTTCTTATGGAATTGAACACAAACTCATAGCAATCACAGTTTTCTGAATACCTGGGGTAATCTCTAGAACCATCTGGATTTTATATCGATGAACAAGCACATTACCTTGGAGTGAGTCCAGACGACCTTATTAGTTCTAACGACCTTGTTGAACTTAAATGCCCTTACAGCTGTAGAACACTAACATCTCAGGAGGATATTTTAACAAAAAAATAACATACGCTATTTTCCAAAATAAAAAAATTCATTTAAAACAAAATCATAATTATTTTTATCGGGTACAAGGGTAGCTACACATGAGTAACCGTCACTTCGTATAAAATTGGAACTTGTCAAGCAATTTGTCAAGACTTTAGATCCCTCATCGGAAGTAATTAGATATATCCGAGCACTATTTCCAAAAACAAATGTTGGCTTCCTAAGAATTGGAAAATAAGATTTCTGCTAAGGAAAAAAATGCCTGGCAATCATTTAGAGCGGTAGTGCAAGGTTTTTTCGGGAACCACAAAAGCGAAAATTACAAGAACATAGTAGAAAACTGGATGTCGAATGTCCCTTAATGTCCACTTTCTAGATTCACATCTAGACTTTTTTAAGGACCACCTAGACGATGTTAGTGAAGAACATGGGGAGCGCTTCCATCAGGATATTGCCACGATGGAAAAACGATACCAAGGCTGCTGGGACACCGCGATGACAGGACAATATGTATGGTATTTCAGTTGTTGGTTAAACCAAGAAATTATAGTTAACCAAAAAAAGTTTTGGTTAAGTGTATTTCAGTGTGGGGTTAAGAATATTTGACGGTTAAATTTCTTGGTTACCTAACCCAGCCCAGCGAGAGGTGGTTTAACCATTATTTTTTTGGTTAACACATGCGCAGTAGACGCCACTGTCCGCGAAATTTTGGGAGACATTTTGAAGACCAGTTTTGACACGCATACTCTCTGTTCTTGTTATTAATCACCGTTCTAACCTCGTTTTCTCGTGTACCGCGTGCCTGTTGTTGTGGTTTTTTTCTCTATTAAGTATATAATAAAAGCTACAGAATGAACAGTGAACGAGTTAGATCAAAAAATTTTGAAACACAAGAAATTTGCCTACTTGTAGATTTGGTTAGACAAAACAAGAAGGTGATCGAGTGCAAAGAAACTGGAATCATCAATAATAAGCAAAAGGGGATAGCCTGGGAGAAGTTGGCAGAAAAATTTAATGCCATTTCTGGTACCGTGCCTCGAACGTCCAGGAATCTAAAAGAGAAATGGACAAATTTAAAAAAAACCGCAGTTCGCAATTTTGCTACGATAAAAAATACGCACGAGGCACTGGCGGTGGTCCCTCCAAAGGCCCAACAGAGTCGTCAGTAGACGCAACTGTCCGCGAAATTTTGGGAGACAGATTGACAGGTTTACCAGCGGTGTGTGATAATGATGGTAAGTTATCACTTATTAAAATAACAACAACATGGTTGTAATTGATTCTTAAGTTTTAGATGTAGAAATAACAAACAGAAATGAAATTGAGGATTCAATTGTCCCAGAGATTGAAAATGAATGTACCTATACCTACAAAAAATATATACATACTTGTAAATTTCATAATAACACCTTTTTTGTAGAGAATATGGGGACGTCAAACAGTTTCTTCACAGAAAACAGTGCCTCTTCATCACAATTAGGTAAGTGCAAAGTAATAAATTAATTGTTATTAAAATTATAATATATATTTTATTTTTAGTTTTAGAAGAAGACGTAGTTGCACAACCGGGGGATACGCAGGAAAATGAATTAGGTAAGATATAAAGTATTGTTAAACATTAAACACATGGTTATTTTTTTTCAGACTGGTCACAATACACTCCAAGGATGTTAAAAAAGCTTCCCTCGAAACCACTACATGTTTCAAAGAAAGGTGATTTGACATAATTAATAATAGTAACAAGTAACTTTGAAAATAAAATGTACTCTCCGCAGGTAAAATAAGAGTGGGTGGAAATCTTACTAATTACAAATGGTGTCAGCTTGCCGACGAGAAAAGGAACAACTCAGTTTTCAAAAAAAAGTTACTTGAAGAAGACCACAAGCAAAAACAGGAAATTCATGCAATAATGAAGAACTAATTGCAGGAGCAACAGGAGCAAAAACTGCGACATCCTGAAGACAATTTTTATGACAACTTGCGTCTTTCACTCACTCTGTTTATTGCTTTTCCCACCGTACTCTTGTGAACAGTGCCAAAATCTCCAATCACAATTAAGAAACTGCCTGTTGCAAAAAATCTAAGTGTAATTAACAACATTTCCATTGATGTAAGAGCATGATTCCTGAAATAAATTCATTAAACATCTAATATTAGTTTAAAATCGTATATTTTATACCAGTTTATGGGATGCTTAATCACATCATCAATTGAATGTAACAAATTTGTTACAGATTCTTTCGAAAGTCTGAATCTACAATAAAATTCTTGGTCGTCCCAATAATTAAAATGATCCTTGCGAATCTGTATTCTGGGAACTTTACGAACACGTCCCAAGTGCACAACAAAATTAATAACTTGCTCCTCGTCTGAGTCACTATCGCTAGAAGAATATATATTTGCCATTCTTTTCATTCATTTTCCTATAATTCACTCCAAAACAAACAACACTGTCACAAGAAAAATGTAAGTAAAGCAAAAGTGAGGTTATAAAAACGCCTACACGACCACCAAAATATGAAAGAATATATCCTGGCACATGCTCTTTTCAACTGGTAGACCAATTACGACACCAACTTAAGAGAAATAATGGTTAGTTAACCAGAGTATACTTAACCAAATTTTCGACACTGAAATGCCGGTTCTTGGTTAAAGTTTTCGTTAAAATTGCCGTGCCGAGAAAGAGTTCTGTGTCTAGTTAAAAAGTACAGAACGAATGAATTAAAAACAAAAACTGGGACAGAGGAACAGCGCAGCAGAAGAGGAACATTATTACAAGAAATAATTTCCATTGTCGATGGAAAGCAAGTTGCTATAGATGAAGAGCTGGCAGCTGACGAAGACGAAGTTATTAGTGAATCACAAGAGGAAGGTACTCTAATGAGACCAAATAACAGAATTAACCCTTTCGCTCACACCGTCCTCACTTGAGGACATGTATTTTATAAGTACTTAAATGAAACTACGAATGTTTTAATAGGGTTTATTCATATTGTCCACATCTGGGTACAGGTTCGTTTTCATCTGGTTCACTTGCTGCCATGTTTCGGTTACTACTAGTGATGCCCATTCTCGATTCGATTCTTCGATATTCGATTATATTTTTAACAAAATGATCGATTATGAATCGATTATTTGATCTGCACGATTCTCTGGGGATCGATTTTTTTTGAGTGAAAATCGATGCTTTTTTAAATTGTGGAAAGAAATCATTTTTTTACTCAAACCACAGCTCAAACAATCATCTTAGTAACTTTTGCAATTTTAGAATTAACGGTTGGTATCTACTGCGAATACGAACATTTTTCTGAACTTGAACGTTAACGTTAAAACGTTTGATTTGATCGAATTACCACCCCTAATTTCGATGTACATAAAGGTGAGAATGGCAAAATGTGCCAATGTACGCGCCAAATAGTTTCTAGCATTTTCTACTTATATTTATTTCTAGTGGGAGTTCGTTGTCTTTATTTGATGTATTTGTAGTGCAAAGCACATCTTTGTTTAAGTCGTGGTGTGAATAGGACAAAAAAGTAAAAACCGAAGAATTGCGATGTACATGTACATGTAGTCAATAGTCATCTGCATTCTGCATGTAGGGCGGTAGGGTAATCCGGTGATTATACATCATAGTTTAGAAGTGATTTAGAATACTGGTTCTACGTTAATGTAAATATGTGGTGAATATTGTGCTTTGGATTTGGAAAACAAGATTAACACTATTGACCATTAACAGTAGGTTTGTAATTTGGTTATAAAAGTTGTTCGGCATTTTGTTTACTTTTAGATTAGAAATGTCAGAGTCGCACATTGACGTAAAATGCTATTTCACGAAATTTACTGCAATTTCATCAAGGTGCAAAATATGTAGCAATGTTTACAAGCATCATAACAATACTACAAATTTACGAAACCACCTGAAACGTAAACATTCAGAATTTTTAAATATGGGATTGGCACAAAACAAGAGTCAAAAACGTCTAAAAGTGATAAATAACAAAGGTTCAAAAGAGGATCAAGATCAGACCCAGACTACTACATCGTCACTACAGAATGATGTTTCTACATCATCACTACACAATGATGTCGAAAAGAGCGGTAAGTTGGTTAATGCAGAGAAATACCTAATTACATATTCCATTAAACTTTTAGAGACAAATTTATCAGAAGCAACAACAGTAACTCTCTGTGATCTTACTGATCTTAGTGAAATAGATGCATTGCCCAGTTTCGAAAAATCTACCCTTAAGTTCAAACAAAATGACATAGTATCAGCTTTCGATGAAATAAATTCATTTTCAGGTAAGTTCCAATTACTGAAAAATATTTTTTTGTATGAAATTCTTTTTGCTAGGTGGAAGAATGAATGCTAAAATAACCAATGCTTTGATTTATATGATCACAGTTGATCACCTTCCCTTATCTTTCACAGAACGTAAAGGATTTCAATATTTCAAAAAGGTCGCTTTACCACTATATAAGGCTCCAGGGCGTTCTACAATTACAAGACAAGTTGATGAAAAATATACAGTTTTAAGTTCCAAAATTAAAGACAAATTCAAGTTGGTGGATAATTTTTGTCTAACAACTGACGCATGGACTGATAGTTTGAATAATCGAAGTTTTTTGGGACTAACTGTTCATTATCTTCAAGAAACAGAACTAAAATCAATTACAATAGGAGTATTTTTATTAGAAAACAAGCATACATACGATTATATTGGAACTACTTTACTACATTGTTGTCACGAATGGAATATTTCTAAAGATAAAATAACAGCAGTTATTACAGACAATGCAGGAAATATGGTGAAAGCTGTGCATGAATTTTTTGGTAGTAAGAAACATTTACCATGTTTTGCGCATACTACCAATTTAGAGGTCTATTTTGTAACTCTTAACGATCTCGCTAGAGCATCGTTAACTTACGATAATCCTTCCCATAACGATTTTGGGACTGATAGCGATTTTGTAACATCTATCGTCTCGTTACATAGCGATCGTATCGTTAGAATGTCATCGTTCCGGAACGATAGGTTTCAGCTCACCGTTAGAAGTGTCAGAACACGTTAGAAAAGTATTTATACAATGAAGAGGAACGTTTTGGTGCAAATATGGGTACAGAAGATAAATGTAAGAAATTAATGTATGTTTGGATTAGATTGATAACTTATTATATATTTTTTTTACTGCAGACAGAATGAGAAATTTGTCTCGGGTCTTAAGAGATGTAAACGACCCCTTGATCGTTCGAGAAGAAATCTTTAGGAAGACCTACCAACTGTAATGGGGAGCGGCGAGAGACACATTTCCAGAAATACTACCGCAGAGTTCTGTATTATTCACCAGAAGTTGCAGGAAAAATTATATACTCATGTGTTATTTCACACATCTTACGCATAAGAAATATCGAAAATGACGAGACCAATATTGTCTATGACAAGGAGAACGATAATAATGAAGAACTTGAATATGAAGAACACAATTTACTACATGAATGGCATATCACAAGAAATAATTTAATAATACAGCATTTTCAATAATGTATTTATTATTTTTTTTACAACATAATGAAATTATTAAACAGTTCCTCTTTCATATAGTCTTAAATTTCTGGCCTTCTTTCAAACATTGAATTTCCAATCTACAAATCTCTGGAACACACAGTGACGTTTACTTACCAGGCAGTACATTGTAATTAGAGTGCCCTATGTTATATTCTTGATGTACTAAAAAACACAGAGGTTATGGTTTATTGTGTAACAGTATTTATAAAGATTAAACATCTCAGTTCTCATAATTGATTGGTCATGACTAAACAAGATGTTCACTTTGTCTTAAACAAAGTGTTGATGTAAGCAGAATAATTGCTAATAGTTGTACGATAAATTATAGTAAAGTACACATTTTTAAAAAGAGTGTTCGGGCGATTAATTAATTACACATACCTCTCTGAACTGCTGAACACTTTTTTGTGGTCCTCCCACAGAATTTAGTTTTGCTACCAACCCTTCCCATATCTTTTCTAAAAGATCTGGCTTGTCCGCTACGAACTTTTGGGCCCTAAAATCTACATTACCTTCTAACTCCTCCACATACAACTCATGTTGCTGTTGGGTAATACGCTGGGTCCTTTTCCATTGCTCCCGTGAACGTATTATAAACTAAATTTCGTGTTAGTGTGATTATTTTGATGTTTTTCTTTTATAATTATTGTTTACTTACATGTTATAAGTTCACAAATTTGTCCAAACTTCAATCAGTAGCAAAACAAATGTCAAATGTCACAACAGAGAACAACGTAATCTAGACGCTACACAAATTTAAATACTACCGATTTTAAAAACATTAGATTCATCGTTCCGCTAACGATTTCAAAACTTTACGATTACGATAGTGTTTATAAAATTGGAAATTTGTACAATCTCGTTAAACTGATTTTACGATTGCTTCTAACGATTATCGTTTGGGAACGAGATCGTTCTGGAGCGATAAATTACAAAATAGACCCCTTAATTGTTACCAACAGTTTGAAAGATGTCAATAATATTATTTCTTCAGTGAAGGCTATTGTTACGTTTTTTAAAACAAGTCATGATGCGGCCCAAAAACTTCGAACATATCAAATACAGAATGGGAAAACAGAAGGTTCTTGTCTGAAACTTATTCAAGATATAAGTACTAGGTGGAATTCGACATACTACATGTTGAAACGATTTTTGAAGCTTGCACCATTGATTAGCATTATCCTTTTTGACAATCAAAATATTAAAATGATTGATCAAGAAAACATTGCAATTTTGAAAGACTTGCTATTGGTTTTAGCTCCCTTTGAAGCCATGACTGTCGAAATGTCAGGACAAAGTTATGTCACTTCAAGTAAGGTTATACCAATAGTACACTGTCTAAAGCTTACTTTAGATAAAGTAGAAGTTAGCACTAACGTTGTCAAACAAATTTTGAATAAGTTAAAAGAGGAGGTAGCGAGAAGGTTTTATTCGGATAATTCCAGCGTGGAAAAAAATAATTTGCTGTCAGTTTCTACTATACTCGACCCAAGATTTAAACGCATACACTTTGAAAATCCATTAGCAGATACAGCAGCAGTTGCAAGAATAAAAGTTTTAATTGATGAACACAAAAAAAATGACTCAGTGTCAGTGTCACCACGAAATTATGACAAAAACCAAGAAAAACTTACTGACATGACCAGTACTGGATTAAATTTATGGGCGGTTCATGACAAATTATCCATTAAACAAAATGAAGGAGTTTGTAACAATTCAGGTATACCTTCTGAATTAAAAAACTATTTAAACCAAACCTTAAGTTCAAGAACAGAAGATCCTATCAAGTTTTGGACTTCGGTCAAACATGTATATCCATATTTATCAAAAATTGCTTTGAAACACTTAAGTATTTTAGCCACATCAGTGCCGTCTGAAAGACTTTTCAGCAAAGCGGGTATTAATTTAAGTGAACTGAGAAATAGACTTGCAAGTAAAAGACTCTCCGCTCTTCTTTTTTTAGGATCTCTAGAGGAAGACGAGTGGCATTTAAATAATTGAAACGTGCAAGCTCTAAGTTGAAAATCATTTGTTACTTAATTCTATACAAAATTATTATAGAATATAAAATTTATTTTTGTTATGTTTAAGAATATAAAATTTATTTTTGTTCATGTTTAAGAATATAAAATTTATTTTTGTTATGTTTAGTATAGGAAATTTACTTTTTATTTTTTGCTAAATAAATATTATAAAAGCAACTAATCAGGTGGTATTTTTTTAAAAGAAACTTCATATTAAAATATGAAGTTCGTTAAACACGTCAATATTATAAAACAAATTTTAAAAAATCGATTTTTACGAATCGATCTTTTTTTCTCAGAAAAATCGATTGTTAAGAATCGCCCGAAACAAAAAAAATTGATTCTTAGAATCGATCTTCTGCTGGCATTGTGGGCATCACTAGTTACTACTAAAAGCAAAAGTCGTATTTCAATTACAGTTTCAAACCATCTTGACACGGCCTTTGCATCCACTGAAACTTTTTTTTTTATTGGTTAACGTTACCCAACAGGCCGGAGGCCCAATTACAGGGTAACGGGGGACATACACAACACCCAGAGCAGGGCGGGAATCGAACCCACGACCCAAGGTGTGGCAGGCAAGCGCGATGCTACCTAACCCACCCGGGTCCTCAAAACTTATTTTCTTTACAAGCGAAATGAGTCGTGTCAGTGTTATAAATTTTTGTGTTATATGCAGAAGTGGGTCATTTAGAAGAATATTTTTTTAATCAAATTAGTTGAAACCGTTGAGCGTTCTGTATAATTAAAATAACGCCCCTATTTGAGGACAGTGTGAGTGATTGGATACAACAATACAGGTAAAGTCATAACCTCACTTATGCACCTGTTTTTCAATGTTCCAATATTTGCGGATTTTTAGATCCAAAATGAGTAAAAATGTAAGTTTTTGATCTCTGGAGAGTTTGCGGAACTTGCTGCAAACGTGTTAGACATTGAAGTTCTGTCGAATGATTCCGATGATTATGGATTGCTGATTCTTTACATGATATGTAGTACAAAATTGTTGTATAACGAGAGTATTATAGATGATGAAGTCGAGTCAGAAATCGAGAAATTTGAACCAGAAGCGCCAGAACCTAAAGAACCCAGGTCCAGTACTTCATCACATGGAAGATTGAAGTGCATCAAAATGAAGGACTTTCTTCAAAATAATAATGAGGCACCTTAAAAAAGATATTCGGTGGAAAACAAATATTTTCTCTGTGACACGAAATGTTGAGTCACACGAAGACCATAAACCAGCAGCGATAGATTTTGAGAGTCCATAGAGTCCATACAGTTTCTTCTGTAAATATTTTACGGACGATTTCTACCAAGCAATGGTTGATTTCACAAATCTCTATGCCGTCCAGCAGGGAAAGCGCTTCGTTCTTACCACCACTGAAGAAATAAAAATATTTGTGGGAATACATGTACTCATGGGTAACTTACATTATCCAAGAATCAAATTTTATTGGGACTCAAAACTAAAAATTGCCCAAATTAGCGTTTCCATGCCTCTAAATAGGTTCTACTCTCTTCGCCAAAATCGACATTTTGTAAACATCGAGGAAAGGGTAGATGACCAACATAGATTTTGGAAAGTTAGACCTTCCTCTAGAAGCACAGCTTTCCACTGATGACCAAATGGTTCCTTTTAAAGGTCAAACAATATGTGATAAATAAGCCGAAGCCTTGGGGGTGAAAATTTATGCTCTGTGTGACAGGAGTGGTCAAATGTTTGATTTTGTCATATACCAACGGTCGATAACAGAATTGCATTCAACACACGTCTCAATTTTAGGACACAGTGCAGCGGTTGTAGGAAACTTAGCGAGCGCATAAAAGATATAAATTATCAATTATATTTTGATAACTTCTTCTGTATCTACTGGGTTTTACATCTTTTAAAAAATAGAGGAATATATGCCACTTGTTCAGCGCGTGTAAATAGATTTGCCAATCTGCCACTTTCATTGGACAGCGTTATGCAAAAACAAGGATTTGGTTCAGTATAGTAATTTCTAAGTGATGACGGTATAATTATGACCAAATGGTTTGACAAAAAGCCTGTTGTTATGGCGTCAAACTATATGGGAATAGGGACTGAGGACAATTGTAAGAGATGGGACAAAGCGCCCAAAGAATATGTCCAAATAAGAAGGCCAGAAGTAATCAAAGAATATAATACCAGCACGGGTGATGTTGATACATTAGATTTTTTGATTACTCTGAACATTGACCTTTATAGGCCTTTCATTAAACAATAAAATTCGCAAAATCAAATTATAATTTTCCGAAATAGATGCACGTTTTATTGTACTTCAGGGGCCAGAAATGTTCTGCTGAAATAACCTTCAATTAATTTTTTTGTTTGCAGGTGGCGAATCGTCAGGAGGGCGAGACATGATGGAATCAGGGGCTGTTCGGCCCGAAGGCAGATGTTTAGAGGGTAAGTGATCTTTTTGCATTTCTCCCTACTCCCTTTGTTTCTTTCTTCTTCCCTGATTTTCTAAACTTGTAGTTCTTTCTTATGTGTTGTTTTTTTTTTGCAGTTTATCGTCAGTCTTCCTAGATCCGATCCCCGGAGTTCCACCCGGGCCCGTTTCCTTCGAGGTTGGCCCAGGTGAGCTGCCCTTAGGTCAGCCTATGATAACATTACCAAACGGCGTCGACGTTTTTTACGGCGACGACGACGTGGACCGTTGTTATTAGATTATGATTTTAATTTTTTTAATTTTAATTTTTTTACTGTAATAGGTAGTTTTAATCTTATTTTTTTACTTTTCTTTTATTTTCTTGCCGTTCTTTTTTTTTAAATTCTACTCTTTTTTATTTTTTATCAAATGATGAAAAATCCCAAAAAGGATATTGATTGTCAATCCTTAAAATGGAGAGACATTTCCTGGTTCGCCTATTTAAGAAATGAAAAATATTGTTTTAGATACAAACATACGTTAGACGATGATTTTTAATTCAGTAAATGTAGAATGGGGCAGCCACAAGGTGGACGTCCTTCTTTTCAGTTGTGTAGTTTGAAATCTTTTTATAACCGTGCCTTACCAATAAAAGTTTGCAAAGTACAAAAATCTTCTCAGTTTGCTGGAATATGTTCCACCGCTATATCATTCCTTTTACAAAAATAATTTGAAAAATGATGGAAGATCAACAGCAACTAATGCAACCAGATCGACAACTAGTGCAGAACAAGAAGATTTAATTGGTGATGAAGAAGACTATAGAAGACAGCGAAAACTTCAGTTGGAACGAGTCACCCACATTTAAGGGAAGTGTAGCAGTCTAAGTAACAGAAGACGCGATTGATTTTCTTCATGGAAGAACATAGGAAATTATTAGATGGAAAGTTCTCATTTAAAATGGCGCAAAACCTATGAAACGAGGCTGCCGAAGAAGTCAGTTTCATTCCGGGCGCCCGGGACGACTGGAAAACAATTGTGGAAATAATGTCGAAATCTATATAAAACGTTTAGAACTGAATTTCACCCAACATATTATAGTGTAATCAATCATGTTTTTGAGAGTGTTCGTCTGATTTTCCAGAACCAGAGGAATAATCATGAGTAGAAAAAGATTGTAAGGAAAAGTTAATTACATCACCCAGATTTTCTTTTCCACGTGCTCTGCAATTACGCAAGAAAGACTAACATAGCATCTTGGACGCAAAATGTATTAAAACTGGCCATACATGACATTCAAATAGGGACACCGTTTAAAGAAGCCCTTGGAGTGTATGCCACACCCACCCAACTCCAAAGGCGAAAAAGTAGAATGGATGTACATCGAAAAGCTACAAAAGTTAGAGGAGCACGAAGGGCTGAGATTAGGTGCGAAGTTGATGCTACGACATATTAATTTTCAGAATGAAAAATAAAAAGTGAAATTGGCTGTCCAAGTCTTCGGCCAAAGTGTATTAGATGCTTTGAATTGTACTTACAAAGACATTCCCGATTTTGAAATCGCGTTAGCAACATCTGAATTTTGCAGTGTTGTAAATAACGTATTTGATATTTTAAATTCGAGAAAAATATATTCGAAATTTGCATTCAGCCAAGGGCTAAACCGCACAAACCATGAAATGATAAAGAAGCACATAGAAATGTTAGAGTACATTGATTATTTAGAAAACATGAAAGATGTAAATATGAGGCCGGTGGTGGTATCAAATAGAAAAACGGGATTTGTGGGGCTTATTGTGAGTTTGACAAGTGTATCAAACTTGCAAGAAGACCTGGTAATTTAGGGCCACATGTTTTTTCTTGTCACATATAAATTAAGTCAGGAACACCTAGAAACATTTTTTGTTGTGCGGAGTCGAGGAGGCCACAATAATAACCCACCCTGTTTTCAGTTTGAATTGACACATAAGTGACTATTACGTCGCCATCAAATAAGTGCAGCCGAAAATGGAAATGCTACTATTTTAAATGCAACCCAAATCCAACATGTGAGTTCACAAACAAACAAAAAAAAAAGAGAAGCAAACGTTGCACATTATACTCGCCAGTCTGCCATACATTGAAGATGTGGTCGAATATATATCGGAATTTGTCGCTAAACAAGTTGCTCGGCTCGTGAAAAATTGTACAGTGTGTTCCCAGTAGTTAATAGGAACAAACTGTAAATCACTGTTACAAGCGTTAAAACGGAGAGGCAAGTTGGTTATCCCTAGTATTGTAAATCGATTCGCGTTCATAAAAGCGAATTAAAGTCTAAAATAATGAAAAAAGTATTGATTAATTCCTTATTATATGAGGCCTCGAATTTTTTTGACAATACGATCATGCTAAACCATGACACAATGGTGCAAAGATGCTTTGTCATTGCACAGTTTGCAGCTCATAAAATTAGTTGCAAATGTGTAAATAAAGATTCGTCTTCATCATGAAGCTCGATTAAAATCCGCTGCAATGAACTCCTCTAGTTGCTGACAAAAATTTTCAAAAATAGTACTCCTATTATTTTGCCATCAATAATATGTATACAAAAATAAACTATATTTTTTAAAAAGATTTTTTTTGTCCTACTAAACATGGAATATTTAGGCTTAATATATTGTTTCAAAAAGTATAATCACAAGTTGCCTACATATTGTAATAGTGTATACTACTATTTTAGTAATCTTTCCAACAGTCTATCAACTGTTCTTTTGTCTCTTTATTTCAATAAATAACTCTCACACAAACCTCAAAAAGAAGAAACTATTAAATAATAATCCGTAATATTTTGAGATCAATAATTCACAGTAGATAACTAAAGGAATAGTAAATTATTGTACTTTTTTGCACCAATAAATTGATACGTCATGTTTACGTCACTCAAAATAGGCTCTTTGTTCTAACCTCTGAATCTGGTTTTCTTATAAAAACTTGAAAGTCCAGTTAGAAGAAAAAACTATAAGAAAAGCGATGTCTTGCGCTGGGGCGGGAGAAGGATGGAAGTGACAGTGAAACATATGAAGACGAAATGCATATAATAAAAAGAAGACGTGGTAATGACATAACAACCGCATTACACTACTCCCCTTGAACTAGAAAACGACAACAGATAGCTTGTCTAGTCACAGCTTCTAGTTTGAGTATTGGTATGTATTTATTATATGATCTAAGGAAAAAACTAACCCTTTTTGTACCATACAATTAGTCAACTGAAGGCTAATTATTCGAACCAGCGGTTTAGGTTTGCACTGCTGGTTTGCCGGACTACTCGCTGGAGTCCGCCCTTTGGTAATTAATTACATCCATAATTTCTTCTGTTACGTTATTAATTTGTTAGTTAGTAGTTTTTCATCCTTTTAATTAATTTTATTCTTACCGATTTTCTCATTATTTCCGATTAAATAGACACTAGTAGTACGAACGGAAATAAATGTTTTGCTATACGAAACCACGTTCCGTAGAACGTACAGCACGCAAAACGTAGAAAAAACTGTTATATCTATGGAAAGATAGAAAATGCGGTGTTCTTATTGGCGAATGTGTACGTTAACGTAAAATACGTTGTACGGAACGTAATTTCGCTAATTGTCTAATATTGAAGCGATTACATTAATTTGGAAACCATATTACATATTATATAAAAGGTTTCAATTTTTGAGGTCAAGAATGCTGCATTAAGATCCCTTGGAGAACTTATTCTATTATTCGACAACATGAAGCAGCAAATAATGATGCCCTTCAAAATGTGGCTGATGATCTGATACTATCAAAAAAACTTCGTACGAGGAAAAGGGGATGTTGGCGTCTAAGTTTTCATAGAACGCTGCCTGGTTACGGAAAAATTCTGGTGGCTTTGCTTTTTTAAAGTTCGGGTACAATCTGTATCATTCCAACTGTGTTCGTTGTGTCTTTCATTACTTTTTACAGCAAGAGTAGAAAATCAAATTTTCATCGTAAGCTTATTAAATGTAAGCAAATGCTGTTCGGTATCGTTAATATAATTTAGGAAAGCTGTTCAATCACTTTCCCGCCCAGAAAAGCTAATTAACGATACGAAATTACAGAAAAACATATCTTATAAAATGAGGCATAAGATTAGTTTTGTTTTTAAATGGCATTACGAAAATAGTTATTTAAGATACAAGACTACTGAATTTAAATTCTGAGGGATACTCAAGGCTGTTGCGGAAACGTATAGTGCCTAGATTTAGAGAATTGTTTCCCAATTACCAAAATCCAGAGTTACCAGCAAAACCTATTTGGTTTCAATAAGACGGTGCTCCACCCCATTTCGAACGTCAAGTGCGACAGTACTTAAATGAAGTACCTGATGACTTTGAAAATGTGGTGGAAGAAGTTCATTTATCAGATGTAGACTCTGTGTTTGAGCAAACTGCAAGTGAACAAGGAGAAGATGAAGATGATGATGATGATGATGATGATGATGAGCTTGATGACATTCAAACAATGAGTGTAGTGAAAATGATTGAAAGTCTATTCCATATATATTTTTTAGACTTTTCCATATATATTTTTAAGACTTTTCTCCATCCCTCTCTCCTCTGAAAACTTTGAAAAATAGTTAAATGTTATAAAACAAATTACGGTAAACAACAACTTCCCCTTAAAATTTATCCTCAGATTGTACCAGAGCTGCTTATACAAATTTAGAAATACCAATACTTTAATTAAACCGGGTACCGTCGGGCTCTAGAATTTTGAAAATGTCTGGAATTTAAAAATTATTTACAAAAATGTAACCTCTTTCAACTCCCACCATTACTCTTCCATTTCAAGTTCTTACAAAACTTAAAAAAATTCTCAAAGCTTAGGTAGGCCGTATAGGGTACAGTGACCTTAGTCGATGAAATGAAGGCAAGCTATTCTGTAACAAGAACAAGTAATAGATAGCCGCTAATTTTTTTTTTTCTATTACTGAACACAAGTGAAATAAATGCATACATTATTTGGCAGTGAAAGAATAAAACAACAATTCTAAGACAACGATTTCTGAAAGAACTCGATTGTCCTTGCCTAATTCGTCAAAGATCGGAAATTAAAAAAAAAGAGTGCTTCGACCCAGGGACGCAAGGATGGAGTTTTAACTCTGTGTTATCAGCTTATATAAATTCAACACGTATAAGCGGCGAAGTCATTAATTTTCTCTTAAAAAATAATAAAAACCAAAAATATGTTGCATTTGTATTCTTTGACAAAATAATGATTAATGAGGATGATTGGTTTAATTAAAGTAAATATCCATGTATTGTCAATGGTTGTTTATTATAAAACATACTTTTTTTATTTATTTATCATATAGAAATATTATAATTACTTCACTGCAATTACCGGCTGTACTTCGTTTATTTGAAAATAGCATAACGTTGCTTCCTTGCACTCTGCTGTTAATTCCGGTTCTCATTTACTTAGCCGTTTTACTAATTACGTCTTCGTTAATTGTATTTATGGAATAAGTGACATTTAAATTCAGTGATTATCACCCGCTTCTGAATCCCGGCGATCCAACGCCTTACATTTGTGGCGGCACAATAATAACTGGGTAAACGAAGTAAAGATCAACCGCTTTGTAGCCTAGTGGTCAAGGCACCTGCCCGGCACGGGATATGTGCGGTTCGATTCCGCACCGGAGCAGCAAACATTTTTTCTTCGCTTACCTACATTGGTGACCTCCGACGTGTTTTTCTTCGCTTACCTACATTCACACCAGTTTATCTATTTTCTCTTTCTTTCTATAGCGCGCCGTTACATGCCTATGTTCAGACTGGTGTCGGTGTCGGTACGGAAAAACGTTAGCTCGTAGCTCGAACTCGACATCGACGTGTTCTATAATACGAAAACAACGGAGTTAAAACTCCAATAAAGAAAATATTAAAATTTGAAGACGAACTTGAAGAACCATTTGAAAAACGTACCAGAGGAAGATGCAGTGTATATCCACGATCAAAAGATCAGAAGGTTACCCAATTTATCCCAAGCGACCTCTAACTGTTCGTAAATAGTCGCAACCTGTACCGGGTTTATAATAGTTATAGGTATATCAAGAGAGCAAAGTGAAACATTTCCTCCCGCGGATTCAGGTTGAGGCCCGACGCATACACAGTCGAGAGGCGTCAGTCGAGGAGTGCGGTTCAGTTCCTAGTGTTCTGTGTCGACGCCTGCATTGAAGATCTCCCAGCCCGCTGCGATACAGTGCTTTTTAGCGCTCATTCGCCAGTAATTCGCAGTTTTTTCATCGTCTACACTGCTTTTCTCAAAGCGAGTGGCCGATATCAACACACAAATAATTTTCGCACCGTCGAGATAGGTTTCGCACCGTCGAAATAAGTTTCGCACCTTCGAAAACCCCGTATTATTGAATTTTGAATTTGCATTAGTACGGGAATATTCGAGAATTAATTCAAACAAGCAGTTTTTCTCTCTTTATCGCTAAATAGCAGTTCGATATAAAAACTGTTGAAACTTTTTCGTCTTTTTTCGGTGTTTGTTTACATTTCGGACTTAGCTGTTTGTACGATAATATTTTACATCTTATTGCTGTTAGCTGTTTGTTTCCCGTCTTTTAGCATTCAAATTAATACCTCCCCTCTCTGTTGGTGTTTTATCTGTTACCGAGTTGCATGAGACGATCATTGACGTAAAGTCTAACGGTAACTTGACTATTCTGGCCATCTTGGATATATATCTATATATATTTTTTTTTAATTTTTCGTCTATGATTTCGCGCGTAAATGTTCAAATAAAAATTTCGTAAATTGTGTCGGATTTTCAAAAAATTTGTGTCAATCGATAGGGCCCGTGAAGGTGTAAATAGTGACGTTTTTATTTTTCAAAACTGCCGGCGGGTTCTAGAGATATTGAATTTTAAAGCCGTCAGAGCACGGGAAATATAAAATTTAATTATATCGAGTTTTTCGGGTATGTCGTATATAACTCGTGTTATTGAAAACAAAACTACGAACAACGTTTCAAATACAGAAAACGTTTTAAAAACACAGGTTGTTAAGGAACATCAGCAACATGTTCTTATATTTTCAGGATGCTACTCGGAATCGTGTAGCGCAGAAATATAATTCTGTGATCATTCAATATTGATTTGTTGACCAAATAAAGTCAAAATATGATAATTTAAAAACACGTACGGGGAAAATAGTGATTACTTACAAACAGAAATTATATAAAAAAAATGGGGGGGGGGGGGGCAGTCAACTACTTCTATGGTGGTCATATAACCTTCTAGCTCTTGGACTCCTTTACTTCATTTTACTTGCATTTCGTAGGTCAACGAAATCATCAGGTGTGAAAAAGAAATTTTCCGTGGAATTAATAGTATGCAAAGGCATGAAATTTCAGCCAGTGACACCCAGGTAAACATATTTTTAAAGTGAGTAAATTCGTTTAATTAATACCTAATGAATGCCATTTTAGAATATGTATATGTATTGCAAATTGATGAACCTCCTGCAAAAAAGCCAAAGCCAAACTGGAGTACCTACACTCCAAATCGATTCAAGCAACCTATTAATAAATTGCTTAAGCCCACAAGTGAAAACCCTGTTGTTAGAGCAAAAGCAGAATATTACAGGGCAAAAACATTAGAAGTCGAAGAGGGCAGAAAAATTAAACAGCAGCAAGAGTTAGGATCTCAAGAAAAACACCAAATGGAGATGGGGCTAATGCAACTCCAAGTAAAAAAGTTAGAGGAAGAAATTAAGCAAAAGTATATATTACAGTATTACGATATTAAATTAATACTAAAACATGTTATAAGGTTTCCATCAAAAGATGAAATGCTTTAATAAAATGCCAAGGTGTTTTGAAAAATTTAGGCGAACTCGAATTATGTTCGATTGCACAAAAATTTAAACTCAAAACAGTACATACCGAACATGCAGACCGAGGACTTGGTCTTCTTATCCGGACTAATAACTTACACAAGCGAAGCTTATGGTGGTCGGACCTCAGACAAAGCGATTTTCAGTAACGAAAATATCAATATCGCAACTTAAATGTTCACATGTAAAAATAATGTGATGACACACACATTTTTAGATACTGAAAGGGAAATTTTATTTGATAAAGGTTATATTACAAGAGTTAAATTGACAGACTAATCTCAGTCAAATTGTTTTGAGAAAATGAAGGTCAAATATGCCTCCCAAATTTTCAGTGCCTCAGTCGCCATTGGTATGACTATTTACTTGCAGCAAGTGCTGCAACAACGATTGAATTTGTAGAGAGAATGGACAAATTATTTGTTTTGCTAAATCCGTCGCTCTGGGTGTTTGTATACACGTCCGGTTTTCTGTAATTGGGCCTCAGCCTGTTGCAAACCTAATTAATAAAATAAAAAAATAGGCTAATAATGTAATCAGATCCAAAATAATCGTTTCTAAATATCGTTTGACACGATAATAAAATTTTATAAAAACGTTGTATGAAAATTTTCACACAAAATTTCACATCGTGTCATACACATCCTTGACAATGTGTCCACAGTAAAGCCCTTGGTGACAACTCTAGAAATTAAAACAAAATTCAATGGTTTACGACAAAAGTTTTTTTCAATTCAAAGACGACAAAACCCATTTCACACTACTTTTATACGCCTTGCGTCACTTACTTCACACCCACTACTTTGTATTAATCTCCTTCCTCCTCCTTTGTAGCGTTCCCGAACCCAAATCCATAAATTAATACGGCAAGACCAATCCGGAGTCCCACCAGAAAATTCCTTAACCGGCAGAAAAAAGAAATGTGCTTTCTTTTCTGATTATGTATTTCAAGAGAAGTTAAGCCAAGAAATATACGCGAGAAATAGGAGAAACGAATATTTCTCTGCAAAGGATATGTTCAAATTTGCTACCACAAACTTAGAGTTCACTGCGAGTCTTAGCACTCTTAAAAGAATATTACGTCCAATGGGATATAAATACAAAAAAGTAAATAATCGTAAAATTATCATCGAAAGTCCACGGCTTCAGTCATTAAAATTAAAATTTTACAGTTAGCCGAACAAAATGTAAGCTTTGTTTTTCTGGATGAGACGTGGCTTAACCAAAATGGTTCTCCTGTGAACTATTGAGAGTGACAGAAGAGGAATGCCTGAGAAAGTGTGCATGAGTGAAGGAAACCGTTTTACAGTGCTTCATGCTGGCGGGAAGTTCGGTTTCCTAGAAGGCTGCGAATTGTTTTTGGACTGCAACATCGATAGCAGGGATTTCCATAAAACCATGACGAGTGAGGTATTTAAGAAATGGACTATTCAGCAATTAATTCCGAGTGTTGCACTGATTAGTGGATAATGCTCCGTACCACTCGATGCATGCTGAAGAAAATCCAAAGTTCTCTTGGAAGAAACCAAAACTAGAAGATTGGCTCCATAAAAACAAAATTCCTTTTGGTAGTAACTTAACAAAAAAAAAACAACTATTTGAAATAGTTGCCCCACTGACAGCTGTATTAATCCTGCCTGTTCATAAGTGTAGTTTGACTGTTCTCCGCAAGGCGCCACGCAACGGGCACATTTAGAAAAATTAACATTTACAATCCCGGCTGGTTATTTTTTCCATCGACAATTACCACACGATGATTATTTCAATTTGAAGATGAAAAGAAAACTAACGTGGAAGCTTATAAAACGGTCGTGAGAATTATAGAAAAGTACGCAACAAATTTAAAAAATGGTTTTTTGGGAATAACTGAAAATGCTGAGGACAACCTTTAAGGTACATTTACATTGAATTCAATCATTGGAAGCAGAAAGTTTATGCTTGAAGAATACATTTTAAATAGAACTATTAACACTGCAATTTGTTATCGAATTGGTTTCAATTTGTATTTCATCCGACAAAACTAAATAATTAAACTAGGTTTACCGAATAATAAATTCATCTTGCCTCAAGTTGCGCCCTACAATAATTTACAAACTTTGGGACTAGTGTCAGTAAAAAATAATGGCTTCGGACAGTCCAGAATACCAAAGCAAGAATCAAGACATTTGGATTGGGAATTGGGGGAGGAAAAGCCTGAAACTTACGAAACTAATGACGTCGGCAATGCAGTGAAAGATATTTGACAACAACAAATTACCCGCCTAAATGGGGATGTACTCCTAACGTAACATGTTCGCTAAAACTAAGAGAAAAATCGAAACCTATCTTTTTAAAAGAACGACAAGTTCCATACGCTCTCCAGGAAGCCGTCGAAGAAGAACTTGACAATCTAGAAAGAGATAACATCATCACCAGAGTGGACACCAGCGACTGGGGATCTCCCCTTGTGGTAATTCCAAAACCCGATGGCACCGTAAGACTTTGTGTCGATTACAAAATAGCAGTAAACCCGCAACTGACATCTGCCCACTACCCAATCCGAAGAATTGACGATATCCTCAACAATCTAAAAGACTCAGCTTATTTTTGTCGCCTCGACCTCTTCAAAGCCTACCTGCACGTAAAAGTCGACGAAGAAAGCAGAGCAATACAGACTATTTCGACCCACCGAGGAACATATCAAATGAACAGACTCTCCTTCGGAATCAAAACAGCACCGAGCGAATTTAATAGAATACTCGAGCAGATTCTTCAAGGACTCGAAGGAACTTTATCATATTTCGACGATATAATCATTCATGGTTCGTCACTTGAAGACTGCAAGAAAAGACTTA